TAGCATTGTAAACACTGCTAATACAAAAGAGTTACCTATGCACTCAAACTGTCAAAACTCAATACTGTTGATGCTTGTTGTCTAAATTTTGTCTATGGGATTGATAGGGGTTTGGGCATTAGTTTTCATGGTTAATTAATGATCTTCCATATTGATCAATGGGAGAAAAGCAGAAGTTTTGAATTAATTGAGGTCATTGAGTAGCTTCTGTGGTTAAAGAGGAAGCTGGAAAGTGTTGCATGTATGTAGATGAGATAAAAAGGTTGTTAGAACAACAGATGATGTGTGTTTGAGGCCAAGCAGCTAGCTCTGGAGTTTTACATCGTACTGTGCAGAGTTCCCTTTACTGTTTGTAAGGATAATTTTGTATATTGTCAAGTACAAGTGATGGTTTTCTTTGTAATTAAAGATTTCATGTATGATTCATACGTACTTTGATTTATGTATTTTTATTGTGCATAAAAAATCTTCATTTATTCTGTTTTAATTGTTAATTTAGTTGAATTTAGTGAAAGTTTTCCTTTGTAATTAAAGATTTCTGTTTGAATTATATATTTATAGATTTCAGTTGGATGAGTTTATTTCTCTATAAGATTATTTGTGGGAAACAAAATGGTATCTATTTTGTTATGAATGATTGATGTTTACTTGAATTATATTACTAAAAAAATCCTCATCTATTCTGTTTTAATTGTAAATGCAGTTGGAACACCAAGCATGCAAGGCCTTTTGTGAGATGCCTGGAATCAATGACATGTTTGAACCCTTTAATGAAGAGTTCATGAAAATAAATTCAGAAAGTTTAAAGGTATGATCGATGATCTTTAATTTATGAACTTTCTATCAAAACTAAGAGGAGATGGATTGATGATCCATTAAATAATAGCAATTGCAAATAAATGTGATAAACATTTAATTTCATATATTTGCCTTGAAAATTTTGTTTTTTCTTAATTTGTTTTTTGTTTGTCAAAAGAAGGGTATGGCAGAGCAAGAACCAGAGTTGACAGAATACTTCAAGCAGCCTGATGAATATTTCATGGTGCGATTACATATGCCTTACTTCCTTCCAAGTTCAAACCATGCAACTTTTCTTTATGGTTTTTACCTAATTTGTTTTATTTATCATTTTGGTTGCATTAATTATGTCAACATTCAAATGCGAACCTAATGGTTTGATTGAAAGAGGTTTTAGATAAATTTATTTGTTTATTTATTTTTTTGGTGTTGATGGAAAGGGTATGAACATTTTGTTTCTAGAATGCACTCAGTCTCTTTATCTTTGGATGAGATGCTGTACTCTTGGAGGGGATTTAGCTCTGTTTTGCACTGATGCTGTTGATGCTTGGTGTATACATTTTGTCTATGGGATGTTTGATAGGTACATATAATGTTTTTAGGTCATCAAGTAGTTTGCGTGGTTAAAGAGGAAGCTGGAAAGTGTTGCATGTATATGTTTTACATTGGTGATTGTGTTCAGTTTCTGTCCTTGTGTATGGATGAGATAAAAAGGTTATTAGAATAACAGATGATGGGTGTTTGAGGCCAAGCAGCTAGCTCTGGATTTTTACAGGGTAGTTTGCAGAGTTTCTGTTTACTTTTTTTTTTTTTTTTCTCTTTTTGTTTGGGTGCCTTAGAGGGTTAGTTGCTTGGCATGTTAGAGAGTTGAACCCTAGGCTTGGCCCCAAATCAAGGTTTGTTAGTTAGTGGTTACCAACTCAGCCAAGCTCTTGTTGGTGTTCTATTTACCTTTTGTAAGGTTAATTTTGTATATTGCCAAGAACAAGTTAATATAGTTGAATTTAGTGATAGTTTTTCTTTGTAATTAAAGATTTCTGTTTGAATTGTATATTTGTAGAGTAAATTCATTAGAAAATGGCAAGAACTGTTCAAGAAACTTTTTGAGGAGGGAACTACTGGGAAGTTCAAAGCGGTATGTTTAATTTATTAAAAAATTAAAAAATTCTCTCTTTTTTTTTATATATTTTCTCAATCTAAATATATTCTGAAAGCATGTCACTGAGCACGTTCATCTAAATGTATTCAGCTAGGTTGTTAGGGGTGGCACTGGAACTATGTCGCTTAGACATAGACTAGGTAAAAATTTCTTTTGTATATTAATTAAAAGTTTTTTATTTCATTTTTTTGCTTTCATGGAATATACTTCAAATTTTGAAAAATTTATAGAATTCTCTATTATTGGGTATTCAACCATTCCTTAGTGACTTGAGTCTTTTTTTTAAAAAAACAAATACTAAATTAGTGACTTGAGTCCTGACTTATTAAAAAAAATGCAATTCATTTCCCAATAAGCGACTGAAGAAGTGAAGATACAATGTCCAAATACACATAGGCCTACGGGCAGAGAGGCCCACCAAGATGATGGACCCCAGAGTCTTCTTTTTAATCCCTAATTACTAATTAGGTCCACTAATGCCAATTCTTTTTAGGCCCGCGGTTGGCCCTGTAAGGTCTACCCCTGCTTTCCCCTCCTCGCATTGTCTGCTCTGGTGTTGTCCTTGGCACTTTAGCGGGCTTATATTGAGGTCATCTTACTTCAACTAATTAAATTAAATTATTAATTAATAAAACATTAATTTACTTAATTATAACAATTTTTTCTTACTTTTCTTTTAAACTAAATATATTATTAAGTTTAAAAAAATTTTGGAGGAATTGGAAGATTTTTAACAACAAAAATGTTTATAAATAAGTTTTGCAGAAAACAATGGGCCATTACTTTTTACAAAACTTGGGCATAAGCCTTGCCAAAGTACTAATTTTGCCATCAAAGTCTTTCCCTCTGATGAAAAAAGGGTGAGGAGGCTGCTGTGTCCTTGATGGCTTTAAAAAGGAAAAATGAAAAAGAAAGGAGGCCGTGGTTGAGTTGAGGTTTAAGAAAACTAAAGAGGGTTTGTTTGAAAAGGAAAAAAATATTGTTTCCAAAATTATGAGGAACAGTGCTACCATATATTTTTAACTGTGGTTTTATCAAATTAAAATTCGGGCAATAATTTTATTTTTAAGTATTTTTGTGATTTAAGTGTTTTTAACTTTTAAATTATTTAAAGATTTAAAAGGAAAATCTTTTGTATTTAGTGATGACAAGGAAATTCTACTTATGGAGTTTTCTTTCCAACCATGGCATAAATTCAAGGTAAAGTAAAAAAATTGGGAAAAAAATCATAAAAAGGTTAGAGGAGCGTTTGCTTTGACATTTTAAAATTAGCTATCAATTGTGTATATGTCATATTTATTTAATATTACTTAGAAATGTAAGCTTATATATTTAATTATTTATATTTTGTAATTTAAATTATCTTTAAAAAAATGGTTTTCAATATAACGTATTTTTCTATGCGTTTTATGCACTGAAATGACAAATATTCTAACGAAAATGTCTTTCATATTTATTTATTAATAATATTTTTATAATTTTAATACCAAAATTATTTTTAAAAAAAGTACAATCAATACTTAGAAAAACACATCCTCTTTAATTTAATTACATTTAACTAAGATTTAATGATATTAATTAACTGATTTGATGACATGGCAGGTCATGTCAAACTGCTGAATACTACTTGGCTTGGCTTCCACCTAAGCTAGGAAATCACACCCAAACACATGCTTTGTTAATTTTAAGCGATATAAGACCGTAGAGGGGACTCTTTTTTTTTTTTTCTCTTTTTTTTCTCTTCTTTTGTCTCTTTAAAAATAAGTTTAAATTTGTAACAATTTTGTAAATACTTTAATCTTTAAAGGTATTTTGATAAATAAAAGTTTTTAGTTGAGTAATGATAATTTATATAGTTTTTGTAAAATTTTTGTCTATTTTATAAATATATTTTACTTAATTTATATCTTTTTTCTGTTTATATGAAATTCTTTTTTGTCTTTATTCCATTTAAGGTTACATCATTCAAAATATAACTCCATTGTTTTAAGTTTTAACGCATTTTATAAAAATAGATTTTTAATTTTTTTCATTGAGACATTCATCTAGAATTATTGATTGTTATAATTATTAATATTTTTGGCTTTGTACTTTATATTATTGCTTGTTTGATTTTTAATTTTTTCAACTATAATATCTAATTGATTATACTATTTGATTTTTAATTTGTTTGGGAGAGATGCTTTAATCTTTTAATTAGTTCTTATTGGTGGTGAGGAAAAACTTTTGTTAATTTCAAGTTGTTGGGAGTTTATGCTAATAATCTTTTTGTTTTGTTTTGTTCTAAATCTATTTTATGATTATTTGTCAACTTTGTCAACAAATGTTTTAGCTTTTGGGTTCAAGTTTTATATTTATTTTTATGTTAGTCCCTTACATTAATACAAATCTAGATTTGTATACTTGATTTGTTTTATCTTGTTTTATTTCAATTTATAATCTAATATATTTAGACAAATTACTGTGATTCTAAAACGGTTTTGATTTGTTTTAATCAATTTATGAAACTTTTCATTTTAGGCTTTTATTTACTATTTTTTTGTTATAGTTATTTTATTATTTTATTTTAAAAATTTTAGAATTTGGGTACTTTACATATTAATTTGTAGGACTTAGAAAATTACATTTGAAAAGTTAAGTTTATTTAATCTCACTCTTCTTTATCACTCTTTTATCTACATTTATACTTTTTCATTGTTGTATTTTTATTTTTTATTGGTTTTAGAGTATTTTTTATTTGTAATTTATAGATTATTTTAATAATAAAAAATTATAAGTATTAACAATTTATTGAACCTGAGATAAATTCTTTTAAAATTTATAGTTGTGCCTTGTCTAGTCTAAAATTAGACTACGGCCCCGTTTGGTATAGCGGTTTTAAGGTAGCAGTTAGCGGTTTTACCTAAACCGCTAAATATAGGTGTTTGGTAAATTTATATATTTCGAAACCGCTACAACTAAAATGTTTGGTAAAATTTTTATTTAGCAATTTGAAACTAGCGGATAGCGGTTAGGGTCCAAATCGTTAGCGGATTGAAAAAGTTAGTTTATGTAGCTTTTTATACTAAACCGCTAGCGGATTAGAATTTTTTAATTTTATTGACAAATTTATCCATTTTAATTTTTTAATTTATGGTCACATTTTTTAATTAATAATTATCTAATAAATTTCA